CACCTGCTCAGTGATGAATCATCAAATTATTGGGCCCCCCATGCTTAAAAAACAAAACCCCATTTCCTCAATGTGAAGTTCACTTTACCACCTTCACCCCCAAGTCCCAACCCAACAGGATGTGCTTTCAACACACTATGGGTTTCACCTTCCCCCACCCCATTACTTTGCTAATGGTGTTCTTGGCCTAGAATGCCTTCTCTTCTACTTCCCCTAATGAAATGCTACCAAAACACAAGGCCCAATTCAAATGATACCACCTCTGGGATCCCCATTTGATCTAGACAAAATTAACTATTTCCATTTTGTGCTGTTATGGCATTTTAAGAATATCTATGCTGATATTTATTACAACTTGAATAAATGTAGTGCTCCTCTTCCTCTCCCCTTCTCTAGATGATGAGTTCCCTAGTACAGGAATAAGCCTATTCTTCTCTCTCCCTCCCATGTACCTTGCACATGGTGGGGACTCTACAAATAGAAACTGACTAAAATGAGAGATCCAGTCTCTCTTAAAATAAAAATAATTTGGTTTATAATAGAAAATTAAAAATAAATTTCTCTACAACTCTAAGATAAGTACTTCAACTAGAAAGTTTAATTTAATGGTACTTTCCTATATTAAATATTTACACATTTAAATATTATAGTTATCAGAACTAGTATATTTTAGAACTTCTATTTAGCAATCCAAAGCAACTTTAAATACCTAGATTAAACCTTTTCTTAAAACAGACCGGTAAAGCTTTCCAATGAATTTAGGAAACGGATTTTTGAGCTCTCCAAACCCCTTGCAGTAGGAGGAAATTCTCAGAGGTTTTAGAACAGTGGGCCTAAGAGCTTTGGAAATAGTTCTTAGAAACAATGAGTGTGTGGCTGCTTCCTGATTGCATTTGAGTGACAGGCAAACTGCAGCTGAATGGGGAAGAAAGCGATGCCCTGGAGCTCTGAACTCCAGGAACTCCAGGGCTGTGTGGGTCACTGGAGCCAGAGCCCCGGATTCATTTCTTACAGATCCTGCCACCTACTGACCAAATTATAAATCAAGACCCTGTGAAAGGCAAAGAACTTCAGCTATTACAGTAAGATCAATCGATAGTTATTAAGTGGTATTAAAATAAATGGCAGCTGTATATGATGAAAATGTGTTTTGCCGATATTATACTTGTCTGGAATATGCTATGATGCTTAATTGTTCCGTTGAATGTCCCATCAGAAATAAATCTTAGTAAAAGTCATAGTACTTAAAGGTGTGCCTGACCTGATTTGTACTCAAATACTCAAAATTAGGAAAGAAATAGAAGCAACACTGCTTAGAAAATTCCAAGACTCGGAGTTAAGAGGACTGAAAATGCAATGTTCTCAGCAATGAGTACATGAGAGCCTTTTTTTTTAATCCTTGCCCAAGGATATTTTTCCATTGATTTTTAGAGAGAATAGAAGTGAGAGGGGGAGATAAAGAGAAAGAACAAAGGTGAGAGAGACACATCGATTGATTGCCTCCACATGCACCCTGACCACAGCTGGTTGATCCAACCTGCAACCAAGGTACATGCCCTTGACTGGAATCGAGTCCAGGACCCTTCAGTCTGTGGGACGATGCTCTATCCACTGAGCCAAACAGGCTAGGGCACATGAGAGCCTTTATGTGATTTTTGTTTAGTTTTACTTTGGTTTGATTAGATTTTAGCAGTCACAATAAGAATTGCTTCTATTGTAACTGATTGGCTCTACCAAGTGCTACTCTGAAGAGCAGGAAATTCTCTTGCTGAATTAACAGTTATATTAAATGTCAATAACTAAAACAAAGCACACGCACCATGTTAAATGAAAGGTAAGGGGGGATTAATATGTATTGAGTGCCTGCTATGCTAAGCACTGTGCTGGGTGCTTTAAATATATAACCTTATTTAATTCTCACAATACTACTAGGTAAACATTAGTCTACTCATTTTATGGATGAGAAAATTCAGTCTCAGAGGTTACAGGCATCACAGCTGGAATGCAAATATGGGTAACTCCATTTCCTGTCTTTCCCCACTATGCCTCACTACTTGTAGAAACTCTCCAATGGGTTTTCTAGTTACCTCTATGTTTCAAACTTCATTTTCTTCATTGGTAAAATAAAGAATCACTTCTAAGGTTCATACTAACACTAAAATTTTATGAAATCTATGATTCTTGTGGGACTCAATCCAAATACATCAGTAAGTAAAAGAGCAAGTGCTCCATACGAAGTGTGCAAAGAACTGTTAAGAAAAGTTCATGGAAATAAGAAATTAAAATTGCCTATGAGTAGAAGAAAAGCTGCTCAACCACACTCATAATTTAAGAAGTAAAAATTATAACATGGATGATTTACCATTTTCACCTCTGCGATGGGAACAGATACTCATATGTTTTAGGTGGCACTACAAATGGACACAAACTCTTTGGAAGACCATTTGGCAATATCCATCAAAATTATATATGTACACAGCATTTTAGACAGGAATTTCACTTCTAGAATGTATCCTTTAGATAGATGCCATGTGCACAAAGATATATGTAAGTACAAGTTCACTGAAGCATTGCTTGAAATAGCAAAAGACTGGAATTAACCTAAATAGCCATTACTAGGGGACTGGTTACATAAATTCAAATGAGCCCAGAGCGCAAAATTCTATGCATTATATAAAAAGAACACAGGAAATAAACATAATCTATTATGGAATAATATCCAAGGACAAAAGTGAAAACAGTAGGAAGTAACAAAAAACAAAAAAGGTAAATATTCATATGCTTCTATAGCAGTGCTTCTCAACCTGTGGGTCACGGCCCCTTTGGGGATCGAACGACCCTTTCACAGGGGTCGCCTAAGACCATCGGAAAACACATATATAATTACATATTGTTTTTGTGATTGATCACTATGCTTTATGTTCAATTTGTAACAATGAAATTGGGGGTCACCACAACATGAGGAATTTTATGAAAGGGTCGCGGCATTAGGAAGGTTGAGAACCATTGTTCTAAAGGCATCGACTACTTCTCATAGGCAATGTGAGAAATTAGTAAGAGTGGTTTTCTCTGGAGAAGAAGCTATAAGTCTGGGATTGAAGGAGATGTTACCATGTGTCTTTTCTTTCTTTTTTAAGTATATGCATACCTTAATATAAGCATATTTTACTTTTTCAATTTAGAAAAAATGTTTATAATAAATAGTAGTCTATGGAGTCATTGAAGAACCATTCAAATGTAAGGTCTACTACAGCAAAGAAGAAGGGAAAAAAGACCTAATGAGAGGAATTTTGTAAAATGTCAGAATTCTACAAAATACTGTAATCCCCCAGATTTCTGTGTGTGCAAACTTCAATTTACAAGGAACAACAAATATAGCACAAGCTACATTAGTTCCAGTATGCAAGATTTGATAGAAGGGCTGAAAGGGAATAATATCTCTCTCTCTCTCTCTCCCCCAAAAGTCATATTTTTGCATGTTGTGACAAATGAATGATAAAGGTGCTAATTCTATGGGCATGAGACTATGAAATACATCAATTTCTTAGTTGTAAAGACTCAGACTGAAAAAAATCCTGTTTAACTAAACCAGTGGTAGGCAAAATCATTAGTCAACAGAGCCAAATATCAACAGTACAACGATTGAAATTTCTTTTGAGAGCCAAATTTTTTAAACTTAAACTATATAGGTAGGTACATTGTTATTAACTTCATTAGGGTACTCCTAAGCTGGCCTTTGCTAAAAATGTCCTCAATCTGATTGAGGTACATTTGCTGAGGTCATCCCCTTCCAACTCTCCCATCCTCAACTCTTGCATGAATCGTGCATGCCTTCCCTGCGCCGCATCTCCTGTTGCCCGATCCACCGACACCGCCCACTTCTTCTAACGCCACTTTTTCAAAATAGACTCGCCCAGGCCTAAAACCGACTTCTGCGCATGGACCACGAAGTTTCAATCGCACTGTACGTGCGCGCCTGCACGTGGTATTTTGTGGCAGAGCCACACTCAAGGGGCCAAAGAGCCGCATGTGGCTCACGAGCCGCAGTTTGCCGACCACTGAACTAAACTATCAATTATACAATGATAAGTAAAATAGTAAATGTTAATATAAACTATTAAAAATTCACAAACTACAACATTTACTTATAAGATTGAGAAGCTACCTCTATAGCACCAAAATTATGTGGGATATTCACAAGAGCCTAAGCATCTAATCATAAACAAGGCACTCTATTATCAAATCAGTAAAAAAAAAAACTTACTAGATACCAGACTTTGATATCATTCCACAAAATCTGCTTATAGAAAGAAACTATAAAATTTCCTAGGAAACCAAATTGATAAGTAGTACAAATGTAAGAGGAAAAACTACTTGAGCACTAGGGTATCAATCTTTTTTTTTTTTTTTAAATATATTTTATTGATTTTTCACAGAGAGGAAGGGAGAGAGATAGAGAGTTAGAAACATCGATGAGAGAGAAACATCGATCAGCTGCCTCCTGCACATCTCCCACTGGGGATGTGCCCGCAACCCAGGTACATGCCCTTGACCGGAATCGAACCTGGGACCCCTCAGTCCGCAGGCCGACACTCTATCCACTGAGCCAAACCGGTCTCGGCACTAGGGTATCAATCTTATTCCAATATCATGAAAACTTTAAGCCACCAGTATTATTGCATTATTTTATCTTATATGGTAAATCAACAAACTCATCTCTGCTTCTCAGTAAAAATGACAACTTTATAATAGAGAAGGAATAACACATTAAACAAAAAAAATAAAACTTAGATTTTCAGATGAATAACATTTATGCAAAATAAAATTAAAAGGCAAAAGAGCTACCTTCTTAAGTTGTTAGGTCCATGCAGTTAATGTATTAATCTACTCATGTTTGACTCTGTCCAGTGTGGAAATATGACACATGTGTTAGTAGAAACTTTAGCAAAGCTACTGATTCAATATATCAGAATAAAGGATTTATATAAAAAACAATGTACCTTTCATCTGGGTAGCAAAATTCAGTGCCAATTTTGCAAAGAGATCTGGATTTTCAAACTTGTCCTCCTTAACCTTTAACCAGAAACAGTTCTCAGATAATTCTTTGGGTTCAATCTGAAACAAAAATAACAAACACATGTTTCTAAAACATTATATTTAATTTTTCAAGAATTCACTTTCACCACAGTTGAATGATAGTTCCTTTATTCATTTACCTACTAAATCAACTTTAGGACCCATCAAAATAATACTGTTGAAGTAAATATTTATTGGGAAAGGCACAGAATTCCATTAGTAAATAAAAAAGGCACATGATATCAATAGGTCTTATTGCAAATTACATTTAAAAAAAATCTTCCACTGAAATAAAAATCTTCTACTGGAAGGAATCTTAAAAATAATTTAGCAAATCCTTCCCCAACTCACATACATTCTTTTTGCTCCTGGATTTTTTAAAATGGGGGAACTGAGATTCAGAAATGTGAATTCCTCATGTTCACTGATTAAGCTGAAGTCAATAACCATAATAATAGTTGATACATGCCTCCAACCATGTGTCCAGTACTGTTTAAAGTGATTTTCATACATCAACTCATTTAATTCTTTGAGGCGAGACCTATTATTATTTCCATGTGAAAGATGAGGAAACTGAACTTCAGAAAGCTTAAGTGGCTGCCCAAGGCAGTAAATAGCAAAGATGGGACTTAACATTAGGCAGTACAGCTCCTGGAACTGTGTTCTTAGTTGCTAAACTGAAACCCAAATTAAGAATTGTGCATTTTCCAGGGCATCATGATGCTTCGTGATCCCTAGTACCATTATACTGCATGCTAAATTAACATACCATTACATTTACACACAAAAATAACTGAACCAACAGCTTAGGGATCCTATAGTTTGGTAGATTGTACCTGATTTTTAAAAATCTACTTCCTAAAACCATTTATACATTTACTTTCTGAGCAAAGCATAAGTATATAAATAACTTTAAAACTGATTTACCATTATTCTGGTCGAACCAATTTTCTATGTAGATATTGTCAAATATCACTGTATATTTTTAGATGAGTCATTTCCCCACCTGGTAGTCTGGGTAACTGTATTTTCATTAGAAGATTAGTTCCTAGTGAATGGGGACTGTGCCAATCTCAATAATAAGCTTTTTACAAGACATATTATGTGTTAATAATACAGCAAAATATTATGGAAGGAAAGAAACATTCATACATCATATCAAAAAACAACTGGGTTATTCACTACTGACTACTGTCACCTATCTCAAACTATCTAAAAACTAAAAAAATAATAACAATCATTCCCTAAGAACAAAAATAGCTAAGATATAGAGGTTCAATTAAAAAAAAGAGTGTATTTGCTGTTACAGTACTGAAAGTTAATAATGGTGTAAGAATCAAAATTATTTTTCATTTGGTGATATATTTCATATATTAGTTTCTATCACTTTCACTTTGATTTTCCTTTTGCCTTCTATGTTAATTTCAAATTATTTGCTCAGTTAAGCAGTAAAATTTGTACTAGGAAAGATGAAGATGGTCCTCAAATATGATACAATACTCATACGTAGCAATACGGTCACTCACATATTATTGATGAACTAAGGCTAGACAAAGCCAAAAAATTCTAGTTGTAGTATTACCTTTGACCAATTGATTCTCTTCATGGACACTTCTGGTTTATATATTTTTTTCTGCTTCATTCCATAAGGCAGATCAATTGGTGCTCCTGGGGGAGGAGGAATTCCTCCAAGGGGAGGTGGTGGAGGAGGTCCCCCAAACAAAGGTGGTGGTGGTGGTGGTATACCTCCTGGCAAAGGAGGAGGAGGAGGAGGGGGGACTCCGATGGGTAGAGGTGGAGGTGGAGGTGGGGGAGGCCCACCGCCTGGCAGTGGAGGTGGTGGAGGAGGGCCTGGAATTCCTGATGCACCTGAGACTCCATGGCCCTGAAACATAAATAACCCAATGTTTCAATACTTACAGTAAAATATAGCAGCAAAGAAAACGTATCAGGAAACATTTGTGCTTGGCTTAAGATTACATGCACTTTTATTTAACTGAGCAACAACCTAAGGGCTTAACAGCACATGGAAAAGGCATGCATAGATATTTGATAAGCATTATAAACTCTGGACATTGATTACTTTTGCTAACACACTAATGCTAGGAAAGTTGGCATCCTCAAAGATTTTGTGAAACACTCTCCCAAGATAATGAAAAAATTTACCTTTCATTATAACTATATACAAAGAGGAAGTATATTATATGGCAGTGATGGCGAATCTTTTGAGCTCGGCATGTCAGCATTTTGAAAAACCCTAACTTAACTCTGGTGCCGTGTCACATATAGAAATTTTTTGATATTTTCAACCACAGTAAAACAAAGACTTATATTTTTGATATTTATTTTATATATTTAAATGTTATTTAACAAAGAAAAATCAACCAAAAAAATGAGTTCACGTGTCACCTCTGATGCGTGTCATAGGTTCACCATCACTGTTATATGGCTTGGGCCTGTTAGACTAGTTGGTTTAAACGTGAGAAAGTTAATACTTAAAAGCTCATTGATTTGATTTCCTTGGGGCCAACTAGCTTTACACAGTGTCTATCTCAGAGCACCAGTAACTCAGCTGTTTTCTAGTACCAATAATTAATACTAAGTAACATCCCTTTGCATATTAATATTCAGTTATCAATGCTTTTAAACCTATTATTTCTTTTCATTCTTATTATAACCCTGGAATGTAGGTAGGGCATTTTTATTTCATCATTATCTCACTGCTTATAGATGAGCAAACAGTAACTGCAAAAATGTTAAATGACTAATCAAAGTCACACAGTATGAAATGTGATTAAGATTGGAATGTGGTTCTTCTCATACCTAATACAGTCCTCATTCCACAATAGCAGACTGCCTCCTCATGGATGGGTGTCATTGCCATGAGGAAAATTAATTCACACAGATTACATTATAAGAAGAGTATAGCTTCTTTCTACTACCAGGAAGTAACTTCAAACTCATTCGCTAACATGAAGGATGACAGATGAAAGAGAACATAGCATTCCATATTGTCTGCTTTTTTGATGATTAATTTGTATCTGATTCTTTAAACAATTACTGATCACAATGGTTCACTTTCTAAAATAAATGGATATAGAAGGGAAGTTGTTCATTATAAACATTCCTAAGAAACTCCTATCAATGAACAGACATCTTTTGTAATCAAAGTATGACATTAGATTAACTGAATAAAAGGTTTAAAACTAGTGAAATTTCTTGGTATAGTGTGGTATAGTGATAATTTTACTTGGAGAGCAAGATTTCTTATCTTCATTAATAATATGAATTTCTTACTTGGACTCCCTAATTGTGCTAATTAAACTTAAAAATATCTTTACAAAATAAATATGTTGATGCATATTTTTGGAATAATCAACTTAAAGGACTGATCTATTTATAAGATTGTAAATTAACAATCATGGGTAGATAGGATCACAAAAATGTTTCTCATATTATTTGATGTGCATTATCCATATGTTTTATTCACATATATGAATCTTTATGTGTGTATCTATATATATACAATCAAGGTGTTCATACACCTAACAAATGATAATCCTGTAGTGATATGCAATCTTCCCCAGAGATTAGGAAAAAATCAAAGGTAGAATTACATATTTAATATTCTTTTAATTTTATTTTTAATATGGCAAAATTATGGAAAACAGCCTGATTTTTACAATCTTAATTGAGAGCAAAGAAATACTGGAGAAAATTAAAATAATTTTTCTGAAAAATTTGGGGAATTAGTAAATTACCCTACAAATTGTGCATAAATTGATTTGTTAAATAATTTGAAAGGTAAAAATGTGTATCCCATTTTTATATCAAAACAGAAAAATTAAAGTAATACATATTTTTAAATATAAAATTTTGCCTCTATTAGGTCATATTTATGATATAAAATGTGAGCAACCACAACGATTTTAAAATAGGATTTTACTCAGGTTAAATACATGTTTTTCAAATTTAATAAAAAATCTCAAATGTTTATATTAAATGCTACCAGCCTTTAAACATCAAATCATATCAGCCCTTTTATTCCCTCCAATGAACAATTAAGAATGGAACAATTAAATTAGGCTACAATAGAGTATCGAGAATTAAATATTACCAGTGAATCATATTTGACACAATTTTAGGTGCACTAGAAAGCATTGTGTGACTCTGCACTTTTACAAATTAGTTCATTTAATAAATCAGCTCACTACTCACTAAATGGTAAGGCCTTGTGCCAGGTGCAGTAGGGCCTTGAGTAAGAATAATAAGAAACTGTCCTCAAGGTGTTTATGCTCCAGGAGAAGAAACAAAACAGGCATGCAAACAAATACAGCATGAGTGGTTTACAAAGGTGATACAGAAGTCCACAGAAATTCCTTAATGGAGTTTTTGTGAAGCTTTCCAAAGGATATTTTACTGAGCTTATCCTTAAAGAATATGTTTTGCAGGCACAGATGAACAAGGGAGAGCATTTCTGGCAGAGAATCATTAAAATCGGCATTTCTTGACTAAGTTTCATAAAAACACTATTTTGCAGGAGATGTTAATAGGTGGTCTGAGATAAAGGATTCTATGCTTGAATGAGTTTGGGAAAGCTCTATGTAAAAGAAGTGGACAGGTTTCTTCAATGTAGGACATCTCAAACCCTTTAATATGCTAATGAGTATTCTGACTCTCTAAGAGGAGAATTTCAAGTGTACCAAATTTATTGGACTATGGCATGCTTTCCTCATGAAAAACCTATTAGCATCTCTGTAACTAATGTCTGGGAAATGCTGGCAGAAGGAAGTGTGGAGACAGTAAATTCTAAATGTGAAGGGAGGAAAGGTGACTTAGCTGCAACAGAGGCTGCAGTTAGGGGAGCAGTCAGACTGGCTGCAAAGGGGAGATAAGGAAGCCCATGATAGAAGGCCTTCACATTCCTGGTAAGGAGATTTTTATTTAATCCTGAATGCAACAGGCAGCCATTGGACATACTAAAGCCAGAGTGACAATAATCAGGGCAGTGTTTTAGGAAGATTAATTTGCCACTGACAAAAAAGGATGAATCTGAGGAGGAAGAGACTATAGGCAGGGAGGAAAGTTAAGAAACAATTGTAGTATCCAGGCAGGAAGTAATGAGAGTGACCCTGAGTGATTCTGGGTTTTGATGCAAGTGAAAAGAGTTGGAGAAAGAACTGACATAAAACAGTAGCCAGCTTAATTTGTCAGGGAAGGGCCCCTGGCTTCATGATCAAAACAACTTGTGGTAAAATTTAAACAAGTGAGAATGGAGATCAAGCTGGTTTGAGAAAATAGAGGTGACCACAGATAATGGGTTTGATTTCAACATCCATGTGGAAAGGTAATCAAGAGCTGGAAATATAAGACAAACTCAGGAGACCTGACACCTACTAAAAGGTGATATTTGAATTATAATATTGAATGGATATTACTTTAAGGACATACAGAGGAAAAAAGAGCAGAGACATTGGTGAATGTCACCATTTGGTAGTCGAAAACAGAAATAAAAACTGAGCTCTCAGAGATGTAAAAAGAGAAGTCAGATGATAGCAAAAAAGAGAAAAATATTCAGTAAAAAGAAATGAAATGAATGAAACAGGCTAAGGGAAGGAAAAGGCTACTGCAATGGGTAACTGGGAGTTCTTGGGTGACTTTGAAGTCATTTTTCAGTAGACTGATGGCAACAGAACTAATCAATCAACCAATACCTCAGCATCCACAATGTTAAGAAATTATCTTACATTTTTTATATACACTGAAAACATAAAATGTGTTGAGTATTTAATGAGTTCTTAAGTTTAGACAGTATATTTAAGATTTTAAGTCTATATTTTAAGTGTGTATACTCTTTTCATCATAGAAAATGTAAGTGCAAATGCAAAATTTATAAGTTTTGAAATGATGGTATTCGAGATTTAAAGAGATCACAAAAAGTTTTGGGATAATTAAAATTAAGGAGCATTTTCATGTTACTTTTAAAAGAAAAGAGTATGCACCTAATTTTTCAAATCATGATGAAAATTTCATCTCAGAGACAGTTTTGCTTGTATAATATATTCCATTAAGGATATTCAGGGCAGATCAAGTGACTAATGCCTTATTGTTATCCAAACATTAAAATGATTTATTGTCCTAGAAAATCAAATCTATAGTTATTTCAACGAAAATGTGAAACTGCCAAAAGTCTGCTTCTGGTCGTATTTTTCCTTCATCTAACAAGATAATTTCTACCATCAACCTCACTGTGACATGACACAAAGTCTATATCTTGTTTCATTACCTGGGTTCGAAGTTGCTGGATTTCTGTTTCAAGCTCCTTGATTTTTTCTTCTCTTTTCTGAAGCTCAGCTTGTGCTTCCTGCCGAGCTGTGAATTCTTCATCAAACTGCAATGATCACCACCATAAATGTACACTTCATAATACAGTTATGAGAAATTTTTAAACAACATTAGGTATTAAGTAAGGTGTCTTGCTTTGCTGAATTCCTAGGTCACTAAAAAAATCAGAGCTCCATTATTTTCATGACAATTAAGTGGGAATAGAGTATTACTGTGGTAGTAGTAAAGAAGAAATATGCCCCCAACCCAAGAAAAACAAACCCCATTTTCACTTCTGGAAAAAAAATACAAAACAGTCCTGCTGGTGTGGCTCAATGGCTGACCCAGGAACCAAGAGGTCACCAGTTCAATTTCTGGTCAGGCCATGTGCCTGAGTTGTGGGCTCAATCCTCAATGGGCGTGCGTGTAGGAGAGAGCCAATCGATGATGTTCCTTTCTCATCGATGTTTCTCTCTCTCCCTCTTCCTTCCTCTCTCTCTAAAAATCAATTAAAAATACAAAACACAGTTTTAAAAGGGTGAACTGAGAAGTCTCTCTTCATATGTAATGGATCTTTCTTTTCTGTTATTGAAAGTTAGGTTTTAGAATTATTCTTGTTTTTTAATGTTTCATCCCATACTTTCAAATTTATTCAATTAGGAGAATGAAACCTAAAAATTAGCCATCAAGCAGTTCAACTCCTTAATTATATTTAACCTTGAAAAGAGATCGCACCTTTTAGAACACTCAAATGGATGTGCATTAATACAAATGAGAATATTTATATTATAATCTTAGTTGTCTAGCATCCAAAACGTAGTGCCCCTTGACAGTAGAGTGATATATGCCATAATGGCATTCTCCTCTACGTGGTTAACCAAAACACTTGTCTAAATGTTACAAGAGGGGAAATAAGAGGTTAATGTGTGCTAAACCAAACAGACCATCTGAATGGTGAGTTCCCATTTACTGCATCCTGCCCAGCTCACACCCCAGTCAGGGCTGTAAGCAGGCCCAAACAAGCCTGCATACTTGGAGTGAATACTGCTTATACCCAGCTATAGAACATTTGCCCTTTATTGTCAGTATCACTTCCAGTCACTTCTAGAAGTCTATACATTATTCCAATGATTTTATTTCTGTTTTGATCTTTTACTGTATAAAATTGTCTTTAGAGATTGTAAAACATAAAAAGTATGTTCACTACACTAAGACATATTCATCCTCACAGTAGATTTGACCTTTAGAAGTTATAAAATGCCACTCAGATCCCAGTCTGAAGAAAGAGTGGGTGAGCAAATTGGATAATCACAGTGTTTTTTGGCCAAACCTGAAATACTACTTGGTTAACTCATTTATTCATGTGTACTTGAGTCCTAGGAAAATGTCCCACAGAGGTTGGTCCAAAGCCTTTCTAATAACTTCAAATTTCAAACCCACCCCAGATCCTTCAGTCAGCAAATGACCTTGTTTCCTAGTTCACATAGAAGATACTTCACTACTATCCCTATTGAAGAGGGTAAAGGGGCGGGGGGATGAATGGTGATGGAAGGAGACTTGACTTGGGGTGGTAAACACACAATACAATACACAAATGATGTGTTATGGAACTGCACACTTGAAACCTGTAAAATTTTATTAACCAATGTTACCTCAATCTAAAAAAAAGATTTATCTGATTCTATACTCCCTTCCTCCTCCCAAAGTTAGCTTCTCCTGTGTGCTTGTCAAGCGTGGTGTCTACATAAGCACACTGTATAGTTTTCCTCTACAAATGGTTTGTTTGTTAGTACTTTTGAAGAGAGGCACACAGTGTTTCTGCCGGAAATGATCTTAATCTGTAAACTTACAGAAGGAATCAGAGAAGTCTGAGATGTGTGAGCTGGGACACTTCTTATAAATCCACTAAATGTATCCACTCCTTTTAATGACAAAGAAACTATGATCCAAGGAGAGTAAGTGGCTTACCTAAAGTCATAGCTAATTAGTGGCAAAGCTGAGATCAGATCTTATAACTACTGCTTTTCATTCTAGTGCCCCTCATTCTCTCTTTTTTTAACTGTTTTATACTGCCTCTTAAAATCACCTAGAATAAGAGAAAGCATGCAGACAATCCCTGGAAAATTATATATGTTTCTTCTAAATGTTGGTGATGAGAATAAAGCACCAAACACTGAAATTTCTTTTTTGTTATTTCAGGACTCCTTTTCCCATAACATATGCTTACAGAAAATTTTACTGGAGAGATTGTCACAATTTTCTCCAGTCTTATGGTCTCTAATCACAGTTCCAGGGAAAAATTAAGGAGATTCTAAGATTTTTCAGAGGGAATTTTAAATGTGCTACTTAAAACAAGAACATTAGAAACATAAATGTCTATTAATCAAAAGCATACATTTTCTTTCACCAATAAAAATGACATCTTCACACAAACATTTTATGCTCAAGCTCTTAAAAATCTATTCTAGTAACTGAAAGAGCAAAGACATTTCTTCAGATGCCCTGAAGTAACTTCAGTAATACTCTATAATTTCTAGAGTGATAGCAAAAGTGATTATCTAATCTCCAAGGTAAGACATAACTTTGAAGAGACAGCAATATGTAAGCACTTTATCTTGCTGTCAGAGGCTGAAAACTGGAGAGCCTTTAGACTTGTGCTTCAGTCCCTGGCCCTGCCACCAGAAGCAGAGAAATACCATCCTAACACTTCATAGGGTCTAGACTCTAGATAGAACAACAACAAAAAAATGCAACCTTTGGTACAGGCTAATAAAATTGTAACTATGCTTTCAGAAAACAAGGAAAAGACAATCTAAGATCTAAATGAAATTAAAATATTTAAAAAGCTGACATTTACATAAGGGGAACCTCAGATTACACCAAGACTGCATGAAGCAGCAGCATCATTTAAAAATGATTATTATAAAATTCAAAGAAAGTAAGTTTAAGCAGCGAGAAACCCATACACAGAGAGAAAACACTGCATCATTCTGTTGCTATTAATAGCAATGACTTTAGAGTATAACAGATAAGACTAGCTAAACATCTCACAGTTCTCCAAGGAGATACCTATTGTAAGTGAGAGCTGCAGGAAAGCAATGGAGAAATACATTTTGGTTGATCGCTTTTAACTATAACCTTCATTTATCACTTTAGTAGACTAGGGCTAGTGTTTTTCTTCCATAATGGATTAAAGGTGATGAGGAGGAAACAGTAGCAACCTTATCTTATCATGAAAGAAATCAATATCCTCTAGTTATGTTTGAATCCAGAAACATAAAGTACTACATAACTGAAACGACATTTATAAAGCCTCACATAAAGGAATGAGGTGGAATATATACTGTGATTAAATTATTAATTTAATAATTATGGCTAATATTTCATAAGACTTACCTTCTTTGAAAATTCCGCAGCTTTTTGTTCACTTTCTTCAACTTTTGCCTTGTTCACACAAGAATCTATTAAAATTAACCAAAAAAACTATTAGAAATTATTGCATAGATCTCTAGGCAAAATATGGCTGCCAGCCTGTAACTCTACTGTGTAGACAATCATCTATATGCCCATTGCTGTTAAAGAGAAATTGACCTAGACCACAGGAAACGTAAACCATCATAAATTGCCTTTCTTTTGCATACTAACTGAATTCAATGATAGTATCGTTGAGGCAAAAAACCAAACATCCAAATATATATTTGACTAAATTATCATTGTTTTAATTATTTTGCAACTTTCACAATTATAGAATTCTTTAAAAATTGTTTTGTAGTTTATTATGGGTAGATAGGTCCCAAAAAATCTATGCTTAAGATTATTAAAACTCAAAATGGTCCTTAAAATAAGGCTAGAGGTAGAGATACAAGAGCATTCATTAATTCAGGTTTCCTAAAGAAAGACTTCATTTAAGTAAATTCTAATGGGGGCAGAATATATTATGTAAATAAGGAAATAAACATTTAACTTCTCACATCTATCAAACACTTCAGAATATAAATAAGTGAAGAACTTCTTTTGGATAATATTCTTATTATTATACATACAGTCTCTTCTGTACTTAGCCATATAACACCTATTTATTTATCCCCAAGAAATAAAAACATATGTCTATACCCAGACTTGCATATGAATGTCATAGAAGTTTTAACTTTCCGGGGTGATAGACATGTTATTATCTTGACTGTGATAGTGGTGTTAAATATAACTAAATATCAAAATTTTATCAAATCGCGTACTTTAAAGTTGGGTAGTTTTTCTCATGTCCAGAATACCTCAATATAGCTTTTCTTTTTCTTTTTCTTTTAATTTATTAAAGAACTGTATGGCTGGAGCAATGCAACTAATAAGAAAATTGGTAAATGAAGAGATCAAAGAGGGGCCAGACCTGTGTTGTGCTGGCAATGATTGGTAATAATCTTGATTTAAATCTCAATCGGAAGGTATCAGAAATTAGGAAGGAATAGGATATGATTTATAAAAAAAATACAAGACTTACAAAATTATGAAATCAGAAGAGACTCTATTCTCCTTAAGTCCAGGTGATCTTAAAACAGAGATCCATAAATTTCCTATAAGTTCTTCAAGCACCTGAAACTTTATGTGAATGCACATGTGCATGTGTGTGTGTGGACACGCATGTCTGTGTGTGTACATGTTCTAATGAAAGTTCCACAGCATTCATCAGCTACTGCAATAGGCTTCTGACCATAAAATATTAATAAGCACACATATATTTGGCTTATATGAATTTGGAGGTTGAGGAAACTGAAGCCTAGAGAAGTTCAGTAAATTGTTCCAGTAATAACGAGTCTATGATGCTGACTATCCTCTCTCACTTGGTCCCTTCATCTCTCCTCGCCCCAGTACTTTTGGTTAACATTACACAATTATAAATACCTGGCACACAGAACACAAAACAAATGTCTGTGAACACTGAATGAGCTAGCCAAACTCAATAGCAGAGTATGTGTGCCAATTATAGTCTATAAGAGATTACAAGCCAATACAAATATTTAGAAATGGTCCCTTATAATTTTCTAAACAAAATATGAAATAAATTACTGAGTTTATCAAGCACAATGAAAAATATGCAATGACACCAGCATTCACATTAATTGCTGGGCAAGGTAAAAAGCATTTTGTCTTAAAAATTCATACCCTCGCTTACAGAAATCAATCCTAAGGAAATAATGAGAAAAATCCAAACATTTATACAAAGAATGTTCACACAAGATTCAGTTTTAATTGTGAAAACCTGTAAATAATCTAGATGTACAATAAGAAGGAACTAATCAATATGATATGGCATTCCATAAAATGGAATGTTAAAGAGACGTTCGAAGTCCCATTTTAAAGGTTTGTATAAAAAAATTATTGTAATACAAATGCTCCATGAAAATTCGAGAGAGAGAGAGAGAGAAAGAGAGAGAGAGAGAGAGAGAAAATGTAGTGAGCTGAGAAGTGACGTTGGTGCTTTATTCCATTACATAAGTCTCTAGATTGCCTAGAATAAGGGAGCAGGAGTTTTAATACCAGCAAAGAATAGCCATGGCTGGCTAGAGCATCTTTCCAATACAACAAGATTTTGGGTTCAATATCCAGTCACTGCACATACCAGAAACAACTATATAGATAAGTGGGACAACAAAGTCAAGGTTTCTCTCTCTCTATTTCCCTCCCTCCCCCCTCTTCCTTTCCCTCTCTGTTTCACTCCCTCCCTTCCTCTCTCTCCAATAATTTTTTAAAAAATATATCCTACATAATAAAAGCCTAATATGCTAAGTGTCCAACTGTTTGACCGTTTGACCAATCCATATGATGTGCACTGACCACCAGGGGGTAGACGCTCTGACCGGTAGGTTAGCTTGCTGCTGGGGTCAGGTCAATCGGGACTGGATGAGACAGGCCAGACACGGTCCCTCCCCGGCCCTGATCGTGCACCAGTGGGGTCCCTCAGCTTGGCCTATGCCCTCTCGCAATCCAAGACCCCTTGGAGGATGTCAGAGAGCCAGTTTCTGCCCAATCCCTGCAGGCCAGGCCGAAGGACTCTACCAGTGTACGAACTGGTTTTGGCTCAATCCCCACAGGCCAAGCCGAGGGACCCCACTGGTGCACAAATCCGTGCACCGGGCCTCTAGTGATAAATAATAATAAAGAATTCATCTCTGAATATCACTGTGAGTCTTCTCTGTGCTATGGCGTGAAGAATATATAATTGGCATTCAACAGCTGTTTTTTTCTTCTTTCATAGACAAGACAAATTAATTCATGCTTGAATCTTAGCAATAGTGATTTTGACTAGGTATAAATAAAACTGCTTAACTGTAAGGTCAGATAGCACAGCATATTTCACAAGAGAGGTTTCACATCATCTAGAGATTGTTCCAGAAAGTATAGCTAATTATGAGTATAGGATGATATAAGGGCATTTCCTCAACAATCCAAGTAGATGAACACAAACTTCTGAAATTATTTTTTAGCTCAGTCTATGAAATATAATTTTTCTACTTTGATAGAATTAAAAGGTCTTAAGCTACTAAATAACCTTGTGTTTCTTTCCTCAAACTTGAACATAAATAGCATAGCTATATTATTAATTAGACCCTATTGTACATGTGATTTCTATAAAACCATTAAGGTATCAGTATAAACTGAATCAAATGATTTCAGAGCCATGTTTCTAAACAGCAAGGCATTTATGTATAATAATACAATGTATTTTTGTGGGGTATTAATTTTAATCTGAATTCAAGAGAGTTGAAACCTGTGAAATAGGTTCATATTTTCAGTCACACAGGCAGAACTCTCATGATCATAATAATTAACAGTTATAGTGATTGACTACCCATAGACACAATGACTTATCAGATATTAATAAAGGAAGTTCAGTAAGAGATATACTTTTAAAAAGTGCTTATTAAACAGAAGAGAGTATAATACAATCAAAGGACATTGAGGATTATATTACATACCTATCAGATGAGTTAAGTCAATGTCTAATCTTTGTCTATACTTGAAATCTGGATCCATACCACTGCAGTGCAGCACTATCTGTGAAACACACTCCTCAATTATTTTGTAATACTGTGGCCTGAAAAAAAGAGAAAGTATTCTTAAATACCTTTTCTACCTACACAAATCAATATTCTTAAGAGTTGACTCACTGTGATAAAATAACCATGTCTTTCTCTAGCACTGTTTTTAAAAAAAATATCTTCCCAGTCATTAGACTCCTTTAGAAGAAATATGCCTACATTTAAAGATGGTCTGGACGTTATAGTGCAAAACCCATTGTGAAATAATCAACTGTGAACACTCAGTGACTTAATACTCTAGCTTGCAAGGGTCCATGCCTGTGTACAAAGATACTTATCAACCTTATGTACTTAAACTTAAGCTGTTGTTCCTAAAGTTAATGAAAACAAATGACCTGTTAGTCCCACATCCATGGAAATAGTCCTAGGCCTCTACATGTTCTCAATTTCAATAAGGGATGGGTATCTTGGCATTCGGTGGCAAGCAATGTCTTGAATTTACTCCAATACTTTTACTCAAGATTAGCTGTAATAGCTTACAAAACTGGACTGAGCCACTTATGCTACAGACTATTTCAAAGATCTACTTATGCACATATTTTAAAAGTTCCATTTTATAGTCGCCTACACACTTAATATGCATGGCTAGAGACTCAATTTGTTCAAAGTGTCTAAGGTTTTAAAACATATCCTAATTCTGTAATCTACCAAGGTAATTCTGATCTTAAAAATGACCACTTGCATACTTCAAAATTTTTAAAGGCACTTTTTACATTAATATTTGGGGAAAAGTGAGTATTGATCAGTGGTGGATAAATTCAACAGAGAAAAATCAGAAAGAGATATTACTATACACAAATTAAATAAACATCCCTAAAATTGTGTGCTAATAACTAGCCAACCTACTAAAAGTTTGTCAATGAAGCCAGATTCAAATTATTCTTACATGTCCTTTGTCATAGGGCTAGAATCAAGAATAAAAATAAATAGTAATATACAGGGACAGGCAAAAGTAGATTTACAGTTGTAATATAAATAATAATACAAGAATAAATCTTTTCATGTACTCACAACTGTAAACATACTTTTGCCCACCCTGTATATTACAGATCTGAGGTTCTTTCAAATCATCATAAGGCCTAGGTTAATTGATATCAGATTATAGTCAATCTAGTCAATGACTCTTTATATAAGTAGTATATAAGTGCTCACAATTCTACCTCACATGGATGTTCTTGGGATGAAAAGGATGTCATATTATAGCAAGTTCTCATTTAATCAGTTACTGAGAAATGGATGGCTTTGCACAATTTCCCCAGGTAACTGCATCACACAGCCACAGTACCCCTTTAATCACCAGAACTTATTTTTAAGAAACAACAACCATTCCAAGTGTATTACCATCATTCCTACTTTTTAAAAAAACATAAAATTTAATATTTTAAACATTTTTCTATATCTCTGTAACCTCATGATGTCCATCAGTTATTGTACTGGTCTGAACTATAATAGTTTTCTATGTGGCTTTAGAACTGTCATTTTTGTTGCAATTATACCTGGCCCCATAGTAGCCTTCCTTTCTGCACTAATCAAGCAAGTTTTGAGAAATCAGAAAGCATAGGTTGCCAGAATGTCATGCATATTGACTATGAAGAACAACTAAGAGTCTCTGAAACAGTTAAATATAAGATGATGGTCATCACCTGATGGATAGTTTCAGTCACTCAGAAACCTTTCTGGCTTTCAAATATATTCCTAGTTATTAGACTATAACATTTATAACCTTATGGATTAGTCTCATAATCATTTATTTTGAAGAATTATATTAGTGAATAAAAAGCTGAAATTTAGCATTATTTTCTTAGATAATAACACATCTATTACTAGAAAAATACTATAAACTAGAAATAATAGTAAAACCTTACATATTAAAAATAAGAACTTAAAAGTTCTACCATAGATTCTATAGTGTTGACTCTGTGTTACAATCATCTAGCAAAGAAAATTCATCATAGGGTCAACAAAATCTTTGGATTCATTGCTATTAAAAGTCCTGTCACTTGGGTACCCCATTTTTATAAATAAATTATTCTGCCCCCCAAAAAATAAAAAGAAATTAATACCATTTACAAAATGTTACCTTAAGTCATCGAGCTCTTACACTTTCTGGATGCATACATGCATAGACTACCCAGGCATACTACATTGTTAATTTTCCTTTAGATCTAATTTAAGTTATACAGGTAGTACTTTGAGAACTGCTTCTTACCTGATATAATAATCATTTCTGATAAGCAAAAAATGTTGTAGAATGGATAATAAGTAATTTTCAGCAGCTGTGTCCTTCAACAAATTATACAGAAGATGGTATACTTCATTCATATCAGTGAAAAGTAAGTCAAGGAAAAAAAATAAAATATTTTTTATGAAACTTAAATTCACTGATGTATCATTTCGTTTTTATTACTGTTTCTAAACCTTCAATTCTATGCTCCTGTATTGCAATGTTTATATTAAAAAAATATAATCTATGAAATCATGTTAATATTTTCACAAGAGAGATAGACTTAAAGAGTATTTCTAAGACCATTTTACCATCAAAACCTTAAGTAATCAGTTACTCATTATATTTTAAACTCCAGATTAAAGCTGGTACTGTTGGAATAGCAACGCCATTAATGGAAATGGTTTTCTCTTGAGCTTTCTGTAGTTGTGATGGAGGGAGGGCCTATATTATATTGTTCACGAAAGCCACTAATCCTCTATTTTTACTGTGACATAAGATAGAAAGATAAACGAGCATTCTGTGGATTGATAAAAGATCACAAAACCAGTTTTTTTATACAGATGAAATACTTAAGGAAATCCGAAATTATTATTATTTGCATTCCTTTGTATTTCATTATTTAATAAAGCATGGATAATAAAGAATGAAACTTGGAACATTTTTCTAAGGAAATAAAATGAATGGTTGAAGTTCAAGTGCTTTTAATAAACTAGAAAACATATTTCCAAAATGCATCAGGAAAATCAATACAATAGAAAGGTAGGAGAGGAGATGTAATCCAACATCCTAAAAATAACCTGAAATGTCAACATTTTCAGTGAAGTAGAATTAAGTGTATGCTAGATCATTCCTCAGACTCCATGTAAGAGTACTGTGTTAAAGTCTCATAAGGTCCTTTAAGTGATTACAAAATGGATCAAAAAATAGCTGTCTGGTGAAGTTTGATTATAAGAAAAATCTATATAAAGCAAGAAAGCAATATATTTACTAGCTGACATAAAAACATTTAATATTATGGAAACGCTGTAGACTAGAGACACTAATGACAGATTAAAAATTATGAGAAATTATCTCCTATAATAATAAAATTGTTATTTGTTGCATACCTGTTCATCCAGTACTTATGGGTAAGACACTTCAATAGGAGCATTGGAGGAAAAAGATGAAATACAACATTTCTGACCCCAATCTCAAGGGGCATAGAAGTGTACATAAATAAGACAGATACAAACAAAGTATTCTGGGAGTTTCAAGAAGAGGAATACTACTTCCAGTTATTTTGAGGGGAGAGGAGGAAGAGGAAAGAAGACATCACAGAGAAAAAATCCAGCTCAGGGTCATTTTGGTGCTGAAGTATGTCCCAATTTCCCTAGGATCCATAAGGAAGGACAGGAATGGGTATGAAACAAATGGCAACCAATGCTGTGACAGACATCTTTAAATATAAAATCATTTCATATTAAATCAATGCCATAGCAAGGTTTTACACCAGTTGTATTTGACTCGAATGTTTCCATCACACAGCCTTACTATAGTCAGATACTATTACATCTAAACATTTCTTTGTTTTGCTAAGGAACCAAAATATTTGGAGAATAGGACATTGATCTGAATTGAATTATATCTCTAAACCACTGAGTACCATTTAATAAACTGAAAAAGTATATTACATATAGCCACATATGAACTCAGTGAGTCTCCCTCCCCTAAATTTTTATGCATGAGGTATATTTCCTTAGGCTCTTTCTTTTCAAGACCATGGAGCAGAATATGCCGCCACTGTGCAGATTTCAATGTAACCTGTGTAAATCATCCGGACAGTCAGCCAGTTCCTCCACATGAGTCTCCAGGACAGCATCACAGTGAGGTTCTAATATAAATAAATGGATGTAAATTGGGCTTGCAGATAAGAATTCTAATAATGATTCACAATATCACACACACATCCTTTTTTCACAATGCATGCAAAATGATTTTTCTGGCTTGTCAAAAGGATATTCCATTTCTGCTCGAATGTCGTTGAGACGATGTGATAACTCAGTTAGGTCGTCCTCTTTGTTTTCATCGAATACTCTCAACTGAATATCAAGCTCATCATTCTCTTTTTCTTTCAGATCCTAACATTTAAACATAAAACTTAACAGATGAATAACAGTTTGACAACATCATATTTTGGTAATAAAGGCCAGACACTATTATTCAATTATGTACACAGAAGCAATTCAAATATTGACCCACGCACTTGGTTTTCTGAGAGAAAGTAAAATGTGCATCGTTTTTCTGTTTTAAAATAAAAGAACCTCATTGCATTCATTGCATTTTCTTTTCATGCCCCAGATTTTGATTATTCACATTAAAAAATTAACAATCACTTTTACAAAGGGGAAAAAAAGTAATTGCTAACAACCCAAATTAAATGCTGTCGTTTTGACTAAACATACTAATCAAAGATGGCAAAAGAACTCATGCAGACAGAACATTCGCATATGCCTCTGGCAAAAATGCAAATATGGATCAACTGTATTAATAAAGAACAAATACGAGGATATACTCAAGCACAACAGTCCCAAGTATGGCGTGAAAAGTGAAATAAACAGGTTTATTTTAAATGATATTTTGTGATTTGAAGCAAGAAGGACTTTGTATCAGGCTGCTTATCTAGCCTCCTCCCCCATTTCATTTTTGCTTAGCCTAATCACAAAATACCAACTTGGGCATCAAAGATTTGTTTTTGTAATACATTATAAGCACATGCATTACACACCTCTGATAATTTTCAAAATAATAATATAAATGAAAAATTTGGAAGCATGCCACACTAGAGATTGTTGGGCTTAATATATATCACCTGGGATAGCTTTTAATATGTGTCCATTAAGTTGCAGCTTTCAAAACCCAAATGGATAATCACAACTGTGGATGCTCAGAGTGATACCAAAAGTGGGACTAGGATTTTCAGAGCTGAGCTTGAACTCTGAAAGGAAATGTAAGCATGGTGTACTTCAAATTAGGTCACTAAAACAAAATAGGGTGCATTTCTTGTTTCTATTTTTATTCAATAGAACAATTATAAATGGAGATGTAATGGCAAGTACTAAAGCCAAACACAAATTTATGCAATTTCTAGATGTATTTTTCTAACATCCTTAAACATAATAATCAACTGAAAATTTACCTAAATAGCATATAAAATACTTGTTAATATATATCTATATAATTTCATATAAATATATAACAAATAAATGTATTTATACTAGTGTCCTCTTTAGTAATAACTTGCTTTAGGTCTTGTTTTCCACTTTGAAGGGGAATTAAGTCATTTACTGGAATGCAAAATTGTAAAATTGGTGGGTCATATTCACAGGTGATTTCTGAACTCTGTTCAGAAAACAGCAGAAGCCAGACACACTCAGTATGCTGGTCACTGCACAAACAACCTTTAACACATTTTAGAATATAAACCCTTCATTATTCTTATGTCACATTCCAGTTTTTCTTATATGTTCACTATAAAACTTGAACATATTCAAATATGTTTGAAAATTTCAAGTTAAATACTGTCATTTAATTAGCATCAGAACTTTATAAAACATGGAACCAATATACATGCTTAAATATTTTCAATAGATAACCAATGTCACTCCAATAAATTTAATTAAAAATAAATAAGATAAAAATATTTTCAGTAAAAATAACTGGTGAAATACTTTAATTTAGTTTTAAATTAGAACAATACATTATTTATATAATATATAGTATGTGAACATATACAGCACAATATACAAATATGAACATGTACAAATGCAATACCTTATGTTGTTTAGTAATAATGTCCCATTAAAATAAATACATATTCACACACACACACACACACACACACACACACACACACACAGTGTCCTCAAAAAATGTATGCACATTTTAATAGCTGATAACTCACTTAATTTTAACTCCTTTTAGGTTTAACTGATTTAAAATAATGGGTGAAGCCAGTCTAAGCTTTGAACAAAGAAAATTTATCAAAAAGTGACATTAGACTGTTTTTATAGGGATACATAAAAGATAAAGTTTACGGAACAAAACCGGCAACAGTCAACAAATTGAGGGCACACAAATACCGAACGAAATGATTCTTGATGTTTGTGATTCCAATGCTTCCTGATATTTATCAGCAGTGCCTGGACCAGAATGGCCATCAGTTTGAGAACAGGCATTGACAAAATACTATTCATTTCTGTAGATTCTTTTAAATTTTGAAAATGAACTGTATGTTAATAAACACTGACTTTATAATCATTCAAAGTGTGTATGCATATTTTTGGGACACCCTGTATATAACTTCCTTTTAGTCAAATAGCCAACCTTAAGAAAGATATATATATAAATACTGATAAAAATAACCACTTAATAAATTAATAATATTTTTACATATCACAATTGTTACAGATATCCTATAAAAGTAAATGAAAATCCATAACTAGTTTTATGTTTAAAAATGTAACATGTCAGATGATGTGTTGTAGAATTATACACATGAAACCAGTATAATTTTGTTAACCAGTGTCCCTCAATAAATTAAATTAAAAAATTATTTTAATGTATATTGTAAAATTACTGAATTACACTATTAATAATTATGTGAAATATTGTAAACATGTTTCAGTTATTTTTTTTTTTAAACAGACTAGGTATATAGATATGGACCATTTTAGGCAGATTCTCTGAAACATATAATTCTCTATAATTTACTTCTGCCCAGTCGGTATGGCTCAGTGGTTGAGCATCAACCTATGAAACAGAAGGTCTTAGTTCGATTCCTGGTCAGGGCACAAGCCTGGGTTGTGCGCTCCATCCCCAGTGTGGGGAACACAGGAGTCAGCCGATCAATGATTCTCTCTTATCATTGCTGTTTCTATCTCTCTCTCACTCTCCCTTCCTTTCGGAAATCAACAAAAATATATTTAAATACTGGAATGCAAAAGAATAAGGATTCTTCAAAAGAATAAGGAAGGGCTTGTCAGTCTTCTAAAAGAGATTAAGAATGCCTGCTGTCTACAGACACAACTTCTTATTTTCATGTTCCTTCTCACATCTGATTTACCTAATATTTTCCTATTTTATTTAACTAAATAAAAGGCCAATGGGGACTTCACAAGAAATCAATGTAAGTTAACTATAGAGCAAATACCATTTTAAAAATCACTGTATAGTGATTCATTTATCCCAAATTACTAAAGCAAATTTATGAAAAGTGAATTTCCACATAAATGAAATATAAACTCCCTTTAAACTCTATAATTTATCCATAGAGATGGGGGAATTTTGAAATTAAATTTTTACAGATTATATTAAAATAATTGTCCTTGAGGAGTCTGATAATTATATGAAAAAATGTTTTACTCTATTATAACATTATGGTGGTCTCAGGGGCTACTGAAGTACTAAGAACTATTCTTCCCTATCACTTAATGATTCCAGATAGTAATAATTTTTTATCCATATACCAACTACTAATATTAGCCATGGCCATGTCTAATTGGCTGCTATATTCTAGAATCTCTAATCTCAGGGGTCTGACTGAATCCAAGTTCTTATCTTCTTCATCAGAAATACCTGGGAATAATTTTTCTTTAAACAGACCATCTCTTCCCCACCCTCAGTAAGATCTTGATAGTCTCTTCTGAGGGGAACGTAACCAAGGTCATGGCTGAGAACCAGAACCATTTGTGGCCATATTTCACTCCATTGTTTTAGGACGAAAAGAAAATTGAGAGTCCTTGTAGGTTCTATTTCAAAACTTTAGGAAACAGAAACATGACACTTTCCACATTTCTCCTGCTTTAGAATCACTGAGATCTGAGAAGCAGGGCATTTTAAAGAGATGTGATACTTAAAGAAAAATGTACCTGGAGGAATATTTTAAGAATACAGATATTAAGAAGCACATGGTGCCACAAGAAGCTTTTTATATGGCTATAGGGCCAATGGGAAAGTGTAGTTTAAAACCACTGATGCAAAATCTTAGCTGTCACTGTAATCAAATAAAGAACCTACCATGGGACCACTGAACCCAGCAGAAATTAAGACACCCAGACAAAAGTGCAAAAGGTAAGTGCAAGAGCTACGGTACATACTCTTTCTGAAAAAATGAAGACTTAAATAAATCAAGAGCCACAGTTTTCTTGACCAGCTATTCAGTAATATAAGGCAAAAATGGTGTTCAATTATAAATAGACATAGGGGAATAAAAGATGGAAGGGTAATAACAACAACTAAGGCAGAAAACACGGCATATTAGTAAATGAGCAGATGATGTTAAGGAGACCCTGTAGCTAACAAGTGCCCACAAGCATTATTCCTCTCCCAGAACCAGAGGACTAACTCAGGGAGGACAAGCATGAAAACCAGTGAGTAGGCAACTCAAAAGCAAACTAGAAGCAAGACTATAACATTCTCTCTAGCTACTGAAGGCCAAAGACTTTTCATGAAGACAGATTTGTGACAAAACGAGAATAAATGTGTTGCACACACTAGAACTGTTATATAATGTGTCTGTTAACTGTGTACTGAAACCTCTCTACGGGTCACTGAAAATATTGCTTTGATTAACCACAACCAATTCCTTGGTTTTTAAATTCAGGGGTTAAAGAACCATTGGATGTGAAAGTAATGTAGAAATTTCTAAAATAGAGCCAACCATACACCTGATGAAAACTGGTTTCAATAGACCCAATCGTCCATTTTATGATGATGTGCTTAAACTACTTTCAGTTAAGATTGTCACAGCACAAGCAATTGATGCATACTCCACTCTTGTTCCTCACCAGGAAACACCCCTTATTTTGGTATTTCTAGCGCACCCTAAATCTTATATACATGCTCACTGACATTTGTTTTTTTTTTCTTCCCTCCATTCTTTTTTACTTTTACTTCTTGCTTCTCGGGTGTGACCTGAGTAGCTTAAATGAAGAGACTAGTGAGAAATTTTGTCTCCTTTAACATTGCTATAGTCTGGAAAAAAAATCATTCTTCAATTAACATTAAATAAAATATAAAGTCATAGTTGTTGCATTTGTATTCAAAGAATAAGTGTGTTCATTAATCTGAGATCAAACCTATAAAGTTATTTCAAAAATGTTTTTAACAGTATTATAATTAGAGCAAATGTTCACATAAAATTGTTTTTTCTTTAAAAAAGTTCACATGGCTCTGTAATAAGAATACCAAACTTAAGCAATGTGTCCAGAGTATACTAATCAAAATTATATGCATACTTATGCTGAATAGAAATGAAATCAATGTAAGTTATCAAAGAAAAAAGGAAAAAATGTTTAAATGAAAATTGAAACTACAAAAAAAAGTGTAGTCTTTTATGTTTTCAGTATTTACATCCAAAGAAAAGAAGTTCCATTTGGCTTCAAGAAGGGAAAAGCCACTTCTGCACACAGCACCAGATGCATTCTAAATTGTCAGCTGCATATAAAGACTGATATTACTGCAATTAATAAAGCTTACAAAATGTTTAAAGCTTTACAAGAGAAAATAGCAAGGCACAAGTACTTACTCTGTTGCAAGTCTAAAAATGGAAAGTGTTAAAGTTCATCAGCATAATAAATGTGTACACTCAACTTACTGGTAATATTGTCTTTAGTCCAGAACGGAGGAACTCATTCCTTAAATGTATTCGAAAATCAAGCTCATAAGGAAAAGTGACAAGGGCATTTATAAACTGCATGCAAGCCACCTGCAATTAGAAAGCAAACCTTATTTTAATGTTTTTAATTAAATAAATAATGCATTCAGACCATTATTTTTCCATTTACTAAAGGTATACATACATATAAAAATAAGAAAAATGCAAATATTTATAAAAGTTTAAGGATGATTATTATTTTAAAGTATAAGCAACAAAATGAATAAATTTTCTAATGTGCAGAATAATTCTAATGAAGATATGATGGATGGTCAAGTACTTCTATGCTTTGCTGACCAATATGAATAAATATTGAACTCTCTCTTGAGAAACTCAAAGCTCTAAAAGTATGCATAGAAAGCACTTTAGAAAGATCGTGAAATGTATCTTGCATATCCAGGTATCCTCAGGTAAACTAGCCTCAATCCTATATGGTTATAAATACTTTTCCAAAATAAATTAAAAAAAAGTTATAAAAGTTCCATAATATTAATCAGGAAACAGTGATAAATAAGAGAAACAATTACACTGATTTATATTCTCTCTATTCTATTATTGGAATGGATTTGCACAAAATTCAGAGTATTAAAATATATGATTAAGATGAATTAATTTGTTATGTATAAAAGTGAATTAAGATCAACTAGAAGGTACTGTGATGCCAATACTAATGTGCATGCCTGATAAAGTAAATATAAGGGCTTCTTTTCCAATGAAGGTGATTCATTAATTATATTGACACTGGAAAATGGGTTTTGCTTTTCTTACCTTCTGATATTGAGGCTCTCTACTATAAAAGGGGAATTATTTTCTGGTAATTGCAAGCTAAAAGGGAATTAACAAAATGCTAATTGCCAGGTGTTCCATACATTATTCCTGAATAGCATTTTTTAAAAATGCTGCTCAAGTCTAAGGCAACTGGCTAATAGTTTAAGTCAGTGGTTCTCAACCTTCCTAACGCTGTGACCCTTTAATAAAGTTCCTCATGTTGTGGTGACCCCCAATTTCATTGTTACAAATTGAACATAATTAAAGCATAGTGATTAATCACAAAAACAATATGTAATTATAAATGTGTTTTCCGATGGTCTTAGGCGACCCCTGTGAAAGGGTCGTTCGACCCCCAAAGGGGTCGCTACCCACAGGTTGAAAACTGCTGGTTTAAGTGAAAACCACACATTTAAATCGATTATTTTTAAAGTATGCAATGAGTGGTGGAGCGAGTGCTCAAAGAGCTGACTGCAAGAGGACTCCTGGAAAATACCAGATTTAGTAAAGATGCCAAGTATTTATAGAAGGGAGCACCCATAAATCAATAGTTAGTATGGGCTCAACTCTATCTGCATAGTGTACCCAAGACCCTGGGGACTCTTCTGGGTGGTAGGCTGATGTCTGTCTTCTACCCTCTTTGATTCCCCACTTACAAACAGAGCTGTCCCTGAATATACCAGCTCCTGGATGTCCCACAGGGATGCCAGACTGACCAGGTAACCCCCCTAAATCCTCAAGCCATCTTTCCTTCTCAGAGGGAGAACCAAGCTCCTGAGGCTGCCAAGATGAAATAAGCATAGAGTCTAGGGGTTGGCAAACTACAGACCACAGGCCAGCCGCAGCCCACAGTTCTAATGTGGCGAGCTGCCTGCTTGTGCCAATAAAGTTTTATTGAATCACAAACATCATATAAAAAATAACAACAAAAAAACATATTTCAAATGTATTTTGATTTCACTTGTCCAGACCTATTATTATAATTATTTTTTCAAATAGAAAGAAAAGATTAAAAGGTATATTGTGCCCTGGCCGGTGTGGCTCAGTTGGTTGGTGTGTTGTCTGGTACACCAAAAGGTGGTGGGCTAGATTCCCGGTCAGGGCATGTACTCAGGTGGTGGGTTCAATCCCTGCTCCGGACGCATTTGGCATGTTTCTTTCTCTCTCTCTCTCTCTCCCTCTCTCTCTCTCTCTTGCCTTCTCTCTCTCTAAGATCAATTTTTTAAAAAGGTATACTGTTTTTATTTTTATATTTATATCATGTATTTAAGATGTTTCTTTGGGAGATTAGCCCATTTACCACATATCCAGATTCAAAAATCAAAAGTTGCATGCTTTACAGGTGATGACGGGTTGTTTCTAACATTACTATATAGCTAAATAAAAATTGAAAAATATAGTCTATTTCCTACAAGTGTTCAAATGTCAAACGAAAACACTTATAAAATTGACTAAATATTTGCCATATAAGTAGCATTACTTTAAAAGATCTATCAGATAAATTAAGCTTATGCCTTAACAGATTACATAACCCTCATATTTACAATAAGAAAACGTTGACATCTTCATAGTTATGAGACTGCATATTCTACACAACCATCGCTACATTATCTATTTGTGTGATATAAGTCTGCATATTCTACATGACCATCACTACATTATTGTATTTGCTTGAATGATCCTTGTTATGTTACAAATATGACATGACTCAACAAGCCAAAGTACATGTCCAATCCAAAATTAATAGAGAGAAAAGTTGCCATCTGCTAGGATTGTTTTTGCCAGAAGAAATTCAAGCTTAATGGCTTGTATTAATACCCTACAAGTAAAGAGAGCATTTCCATAAGAAACAGCTTAATGATTTTTAGAATTGTACCTTTATACAAAAAAAAAAAGTATTTAGATCAGGAGATGATAAACATAGTAAAAGTTAATGAAATTAATGAATGTATCAATTACAAAATAACTTCAAATTTAATAAATGTTGCAATGCTATTAAACACTTTAATAGCATTAAGAATATATATTATTATAAATATATAACTAAATAAAAAAGAAGTTGCATTTATCGACTATAGTATAAACAAGTATAAGACAATGAATTCAGTAATTAAACAGGTTAACAGCAATGGTTTACCAAATGTACTGTTTATTGTTTATAAAATTCTAATAGATAGCTAAATAATTACAAATAACATATGATAAGTAGTCATACTATCATGTCACTTTACAACACAATCTGCTAGAGCAATGCTCTTTCAGAGAAATATTTATATTGTAAAAATGTGGAGAATAATAGTCATCTTAATAGTCTCTATTCCTTTAAACTACTACACAATTATTGCCCTTTTCACAGGATGAGAAGAAAATTAGAATAATTATCACAATTTATAACTACAAAATTAAACTTAAAAATTGTAATCAGATAGCCCGGCTACTGTGGCTCAGTGATTGAGCATTGACCTATAAACCAGGTCATGGTTTGATTCCTGGTCAGGGCACATGCCCGGGTTGTGGGCTCCATTCCCAGTGGGGGGTGTGCAGGAGGCAGCCGATCAATGATTCTCTCTCATCATTTTTTTTTGTTATCTCTCTCCTCATTGATATTTCTATCTTTCTCTCCCCCCCTTCCCTCTGAAATCAATCAAAACATATTTTTTTAAAAAATGTAATTAGATAAACTTTAAAATGTAATTAGAAAATATTATAAACATGAAATACTCATTGTGTGGATTCTGAATTTAAAGATAAATACAAAACCCCAAACTATTATAATTATCATTATTTATATCATTATTATTAGTTGCCAGACAATATTAGGTGCTTTATATAACTCACCATCTAATTTAATCCTTATAAAAATCATACAAAATAAGTGTTGCTATTAGCCTTATTCCACAGATGATGAAGGTGAAGCTCAAAGCAGATAAATAACTTACACAAGGTCATACAGCAAGAAGGAAATTCATGATTCCAAACCATATCACTTCACTACAAATACAGAATAACTTCCAGCACGTACAAGATGCCTCATAAACTCCATTCATAGATTCATACAACAAAAGATTTTAAGGATAGGTAAGAGAATAAAATTTAACTAGTGCATCATGTTTAATGCACTGAGAATATCTAGCTTTGGAATTATAGGTTAATTAGAAAAACATACAATTATTTTAACAAGCTGTTATTTAGTACATAAAATGGTTATCTTATATGTCTAATATAACTCAATAAAAATTAAATAGTTATCATAATATATAATGGAATGCAAAATTTTAAGGTAGAAAATAGTTCCTGAAATATGTTACATTCCACTTTCTATATATATATCTTAAACAGTGAAGTATGGGCAGCATCCCATCATCCCAAATAATGATCTTGCACTCTCCTTTACTTACTGCCACCTCACTCCCTACTTAGCACACATGTGAATGCAAACACACACACACACACACACACACACACACACACACACACACACACATTTTCTCCATTATTAATATATATGCTAGGCTAGGACCACAATTCTGATTTTAAACCAGTAAGAACAAGGAGCTTGTGTATTTCCATTTTTACTCAGAAGCCAGAGGCCCAGTGCACGAAATTCGATGGGTAGGGGTCCCTCAGTCCGGCCTGCGCCCTCTCACAGTCCAGGAAATCCTTAGCACTCTGCAAACATCCCTCTCGCAGTCTGGGACCCCTCACTCCTTACCACCTGCCTGCTCACTGCTCCTTACTGCTTGACTCGCTGCTCCTTAAAGCTGCTGCGGATGTGGGAGAGGCTCCCACCACCGGCAAAGGCAGCCATGAGCCTGGCTTCTGGCTGAGCAGCGCTCCTCCTGTGGGAGCACACTGACAACCACGGGGCAGCTCCTGCATTAAGCATCTGCCCCCTGGTGGTCAGTGCGCATCATAACAACCAGTCGTTCTGATCGTTCCACCGTAATGGTTGCTTAGGCTTTTATTATATAGATCTCCTTACATCATAAGGAGATTTCTATATGATATCTATATTAGCTATTGAATGAATGCATAAGCATATATAGATAAAAAGCGCCAACTTTGTGGATGAGATAAAACATCCAATAATTTGTGCCATGAAGAATTATATACTAAACTTTATTCCTATCAGTTCTACCAGTTATGATCCTGCCATTCCTCTAATAGTATATTATCTTTCTACAATAATCACCTGCATTCTTTAACCACAGGATGCTATTATTTTCATCCTAGGGCAGTGATGGCGAACCTTTTGAGCACAGCGTGTCAACATTTTGAAAATC